CGTGTCCTCTAGGTGGGTCATTAAGCTTAACTACCGTGTCCTCTAGGTGGGCTACAAGGTCAAGGACCGCGGCCACCACGTCGCCATCATTCGCTATGGCAACGAACAGATCCCTGGGTCGCCCTTACATATCGATGTTTAATTATCACACATTCAATTATTAAAAGACTCTTGATTAATTATTCAAGATATTAATAATTATTATTATTAGCTGTCTAATTAATACAAGAACTCGCGGTAATATTTTAAATATGACTCAATTATTGTACCGTTGTCTACCCAGTTAAAATTTAAAGCAGTGTTTGAGCCCAGTCGGTGCCGTGCAGGGCACGCTAGAAGCAGTGTTTGAGCCGTGTTGGTGCCGCGCAGGGCAGGCTAGAAGCAGTGTTTGAGCCGTGCTGGAGCCGTGCTGGGCAGGCTAGAAGCAGTGTTTGAGCCGTGCTGGCGTCGTGCACGGCAGGCTTTAAGCAGTGTTTGAGCCGTGTTTCAGCCGTGCAGGGCAGGCTAGAAGCAGTGTTTGAGCCGTGCAGGGTGCCATGTACGGCAGGCTTGAAGCAGTGTTTGAGCCCAGTTGGTGCCGCGCAGGGCAGGCTAGAAGCAGTGTGTGAGCTGTGCTGGTGCCGCGCAGGTCAGGCTAGAAGCAGTGTTTGAGCCGTGCTGGAGCCGCGCAGGGCAGGCCAGAATCTGTGGTGTAGCCGGCCAGCGCCGCGCAGGGCAGGCTAGAAGCAGTGTTTGAGCCGAGCTGGTGCCGTGCATTGCAGGCTAGAAGCAGTGGGGGAGCAGGTTTGGGGCAGCCATGTCTCATTTTGAAGCCTGAAGATTTCATTGATTAATAAATGAAAACCAGGTTGCTGATTGGCCGATTGATCATTGTATTGTAACTATAGATATTGTAACACATAAGTGTATCATTGTATTATAACTATAGATATTGTAAGAAATCAGATCTCCAGTAACGCTGCCTCCTCTTGCAGTGCCGGCGCTACGGGCACGACGACGAGATCCGCACCAAGGCTGAGATGGTCTATAACAAGTTCAAGGTGAGTCGTCTTGATGCACTTTACGTTACGCATGGCTGAGATGGTCTATAACAAGTTCAAGATGAGTCGACTTGATGCACCTTACGTAAGTTACGTTACGCATGGCTGAGATGGTCTATAACAAGTTCAAGGTGGGTCGTCTTGATGCACCTTACGTTACGCATGGCTGAGATGGTCTATAACAAGTTCAAGGTGGGTCGTCTTGCTGCACCTAATGTTACGCATGGCTGAGATGGTCTATAACAAGTTCAAGGTGGGTCGTCTTGATGCACCTTATGTTACGCATGGCTGAGATGGTCTATAACAAGTTCAAGGTGGGTCGTCTTGATGCATGTAAGGAACCACATGTCCCTGCGGCCCCCTGCCTTCCTGCAGCCAATGACAGGGCGTTTAGGTTAGGCTGGTTTAGGTGGGGCAGTTTTAAGCATTTGTGTGCCTGCGCCCAATTACAATTGCTGGTTCATTCTACAAATGTTCATTTAGGAAGCATTACAAGGTAAAGCAATACAGATGTTCACTTAGGAAGCAGGTAAAGCGATACAGATACAAAGGAAGTGCCACCATCATAAATTGCCGCTGTCCCACTCTAAACTCAACTTGTTACGTCGTGAAGGGAACAGATGTGGTGTCATTATTGCCTATATTGAATATAAGTTTCAATTAACATTTAATTTGTCATTCCTGTATGAAACTGAATAGGATCTGGGGTGGTGAGTGGGTTGTGGTAATGGGATTGGGGTGATGAGTGGTAATGGGAGTGAGGTCATGAGTGGTGCTGGGGTCGTGGGATTTGTGGTAGTAACTTGAGTGGGTCTCTTCTAGCGCCCCCCACCGCCCACCGTGCCCTGCTGCCGTGTCAGCTGCTGTTGCTTGTGCCAGCTGTTTCACAGCTGTTTACGCTGTAGCACCAGCTGTTTATGCTGTAGCACCAGCTGTTTACGCTGTAGCACCAGCTGTTTTTAGTCTGATATTTCGTTGCCTGCATCGCTTGTGCTCGCATTCCTTCACAAATGTTGGTATTTTCTACACGCCAGTCGGGGCTTGTCATTGCGCGCCAATTATCAAGGGGAGAAATGTTTTTATATCATAGTTATTTTGTTATATGTTAGGTAATGTGGTGTTGTTATAGCGTTATATGTTAGGTAATGTGGTGTTGTTATAGCGTTATATGTTAGGTAATGTGGTGTTGTTATAGCGTTATATGTTAGGTAATGTGGTATTATTTTAGTGCAGCGCTGCCTGCAACACGCGTTATGTTAGTGCTGCTATTGCTGCACGCTGTTGGTGCTGTACTCATATTGATGCATCTTGTGCTGCGTTCTGAGACACTCAGATCTTGCCGTGCTCTGCTGCTGTTCTGCGTAAGAAAGTGTGTCAGGGTTCAGACAATTACACATTCAAGTTTCTGAGTGTTGTAGTGGGCGTTGTGAGAAGCTTTGTAGTGCTGTTACTTTTTGTTGTCACTAGTTGTTATTTTTTCCACTAGTTGTTGTTGTCACTAGTTGTTATTTTTTCCACTAGTAGTTGTTGTTGTTGTCACTAGTTGCTGTTCGTGCTGCCGGAGGCTGGTGGTGGTGGCGGGGACGGTGGCGGGCGGTGGGACTATTGGGAAAATGTTCAACTTTATTTGGTCAAAGTCATCTTATTTTTTTGAGTGGTAGTAAATTGATCGATTATTCATATATAATGTATGATTAAGTCAATTCTTTATTACACTTATTTTTGATGGTTTTGTATCTGTATTCATATAATGTATACAAATCATATACTGTATAATATGCATATGATACAGTACAGTATATGTATAATATACTGTATAATATATACTGTATACTGTATAATACACTCGCGTTCACACAATGTATGGGCGAAAATATTCAGTTAATACGAATATTAGGGCCCCAAAAATCACTGTCCCAACTGAGTGGGCCCCATTGTGTCCCCAGGTCGGTGTGGGGCCCAGCAAGCAGTCCCGCATCAGGGCCTTCGGGCCCGGGCTGGCGGGCGGCGTGGCGGGCCAGCCCGCCACCTTCACCGTCGAGGCCAACGGCGAGACCGGGGCCTTAGGTGGGTCATGGGGCCTTATGTGGGTCATGGGGCCCTAGGTGGGTCATGGGGCCCAAGGTGGGTCATGGGGCCCTAGGTGGGTCATGGGGCCCTAGGTGGGTCATGGGGCCTTATGTGGGTCATGGGGCCTTATGTGGGTCATGGGGCCTTATGTGGGTCATGGGGCCTTATGTGGGTCATGGGGCCTTATGTGGGTCATGGGGCACTAGGTGGGTCATGGGCCCCTAAGTGGGTCATGGGGCCCTTGGTGGGTCATGGGGCCTTAGGTGGGTCATGGGGCCCTAGGTTGGTCATAAGGCCTTATGTGGGTCATGGGGGCGTGGCCACACTCTTGAAAATAGCACATTACTTTTGATAAATATTGCCGATAAATATAAATGTAAAATTGGCTCTGGATAAAATATAAAAATATTTATCAAACTAATTAATATAAATATAAATTGCCATATTACTCTATACCCCAATTACTCTATACAATTACCCAAAGCACCGCGACATGATGTACATATACTCTATAAATGAAGGCAAAATAAAGATGGAAAATAGAAAACAATTTTATTTGGATTAATTCTTATACTAAAAAAGTGCACATACAGTCTATCTGTATTAAGGTTGGACTCGCGACGCATGCATCATATATAACATATCAAAACATCTTTCTAATCTCTTTCGTATGGACTCCAAAAGGATAAAACAAAGTACATATGAGATTTTTAAATTTATCTTTTATTTTCCCATAAAACTTTCATCAAGGAGAACTGCTGTTAGTCTCTTGCAGACACTCATTTATACACACTGACTCGCCGTAAGCTGCGCGTAAGCTGCGCCAAAGTACAATGGAAAAGTTTAATTAGGAGTACGGCTCCTTAGGAGCTTAATTAATTAGGAGCTAGGATAACATAAATTAATTAGGATCCTTAATTAGGATAACATAAATAATTAATTAGGAGCTAATTAAATTAATTAGGAGCTTAATTAATTAGGAGCTGCGCGGACCTGCGTCCTAGTGCGGCCACTGTACGCTCGGCGCGGTGCCGCTCTGCTTGAAGCGTCAATCCCGTTAGTCTGGCCGTAGCTTTAATGAATCTGGGGGTCCGGGACTCTATGGGGCTCAGCTCCCCTTTAACCCCTCCCCTCTCGCAGGGTTCACCTTCCCCCTGCAGGGTTCAGCATCGAGGGCCCCAGTAACCCCTCCCTCCCTCCGCAGGGTTCAGCATCGAGGGCCCCAGTAACCCCTCCCTCCCTCCGCAGGGTTCAGCATTGAGGGCCCCAGTAACCCCTCCCTCTGTCTCTTATACACATCTAGATGTGTATAAGAGACAGGTGTTTCTCCAACACAGTGAGAGTTGTTGTCAAGGGTGTCAGGGAGCCTGTTGAATTCATCACGGATCATGAGATGAAGTTGCTCGATGGTAAGACTTTGAGACCAGTCGAGACAATTTCGCAACCAGACCAGGTCCTGTCTCTTATACACATCTAGATGTGTATAAGAGACAGNCCGCATCGAGGGCCCCAGTAACCCCCCCCCTCCCCCGCAGGGTTCAGCATCGAGGGGCCCAGTGAGGCCCGCATAGAGTGCCGGGACCTGGGGGACGGGTCCGCGGACGTGACGTACCACCCCACGGTCCCGGGGGAGTACGTCGTGCACGTGCTGTGTGGGGGCGAAGACGTGCCCGGCAGCCCGTACCTAGCCGACGTCCTGCCCGCGCCCGACGTCCTGCCCGGGATAAGTGGGGTGAGTGGGGTCCGAGTGGGGCTCGAGTGTGGCCCGAGTGGGGTCTGAGTGGGGTCCGAGCAGGGGTTGAGTGGGGTCCGAGTGTGGGACCGACTGGGGTCTGAGTGGGGCCCGAGTGGGGACCGACTGGGGTCTGAGTGGAGGTTGAGTGGGCCCGAGTGGGGTTTGAGTGGGGTCCGAGTGGGGCCCGAGTGTGGCTCGAGTGGGGTCCGAGTGGGGTCTGAGTGGGGCCCGAGTGGGGTCTGAGTGCGGTCCGAGTGCAGCCCGAGTGGGGTCCGAGTGGGACCCGAGTGGGGGTTGAGTGGGGCTCGAGTGGGGTCTGAGTGGGGTCTGAGCGGGGTCCGAGTGGGGCCCGAGTGACGTCCGAGTGGGGTCCGAGTGGGGTCCGAGTGGGGTCCGAGTGGGGGTTGAGTGCGGTCCGAGTTCGGTCCGAGTGGGGGATGAGTGGGGTCCGAGTGGGGAGGTATCCTGGCCCGTGCACGTGCCCGAATAACGTAGGTCCCCGGGCAGGTCTCGTGTAACGGGCCCGGCGTGTCCAAGACGGGCCCGGTGGCGGGTCAAGAGACGCACTTCGACGTCACGGGCGTCACCAGCCCTGAGGACCTCAACGTCCAGGTACGTTAATTAGAACAACGTGTCGCACTAATTAGACATTAATTGTGTCGCACTAATGAGACATTAATTGTGTCGCACTAATGAGACATTAATTGTGTCGCACTAATGAGACATTAATTGCGTCGCACTAATTAGACATTAATTGTGTCGCACTAATGAGACATTAATTGTGTCGCACTAATGAGACATTAATTGCGTCGCACTAATGAGACATTAATTGCGTCGCACTAATTAGACATTAATTGTGTCGCACTAATGAGACATTAATTGTGTCGCACTAATGAGACATTAANACAAATATTTTCGATAACAACTCCAGAATACATCAACAAAAAAAAAAGTTCAAACTGAGGAATAATTAGAAATATCATCAGAGTAAAAATTGTGCAAATTACTTGATATTGTCAAAAGTGATGATATTTATGTGGAAGATACAGGCAAACAAAATATTTGATAACCAGGGCTATTTCAGGTCATTTCAGAAAATATTTAAATAAATTTAGATGGTATCACAATTGGAAGTATTAAAACAAGTGTAGAATCAGAGTTTAATTTCAATTCAAAACCGGATGGGTTCCAAATGATTGATTTACTCATCCAGACTTCCCTACTGCACAAGTTCAGTTAAGACGTCAACAAATAAATGCCATAAAGGCGCCACCAATAACTAAGGGCTTACCAATAACAAAGGGCTTACCAATAACTAAGGGCTTACCAATTACAAAGGGCTTACCAATAACAAAGGGCTTACCAATAACAAAGGGCTTACCAATAACAAAGGGCTCAACCATCTGGCCTTGAGCATCATACCATGGAGGGCGCCCACTTGTGTATCTGTCTCTTATACACATCTAGATGTGTATAAGAGACAAGTAATGCCCCGTTTTTGTAGCGGTGATGCACCGTTTTTGTAGCGGTAATGCCCCGTTTTTGTAGCGGTAATGCCCCGTTTTTGTAGCGGTAATGCACCGTTTTTGTAGCGGTAATGCCCGTTTTTGTAGCGGTAATGCACCGTTTTTGTAGCAGTAATGCCCCGTTTTTGTAACGGTAATGTCCCGTTTTTGTAGCCGTAATGCACCGTTTTTGTAGCGGTAATGTACCGTTTTTGTAGCGGTAATACCCCGTTATTTGTAGCGGTAATTTTCTGTTTTTGTAGCGGTAATTTTCTGTTTTTGTAGCGGTAATGTACCGTTTCTGTAGCGGTAATGTACCGTTTTTTTGCCGGTAATGTACCGTTTTTTTACCGTATTCCCTGTACCAGATCATCGACAGTGAGTACCGGACTGTACCGGTAAAACGGGTCCCCGGTACCGGCACCGGAAAGCAGCGCATCCTGTACACCCCTGCAACCCCCGGCAAACATACCGTCATGGTGGGTACCCCCCTAACCCCCCTAGCGTATTACCCCCACTAGCGTATTACCCCCACTAGCGTATTACCCCCACTAGCGTGTTACCCCCACTAGCGTGTTACCCCCACTAGCGTGTTACCCCCACTAGCGTATTACCCCCACTAGCGTGTTACCCCCACTAGCGTGTTACCCCCACTAGCGTGTTACCCCCACTAGCGTATTACCCCCACTAGCGTGTTACCCCCACTAGCGTGTTACCCCCACTAGCGTGTTACCCCCACTAGCGTATTACCCCCACTAGCGTGTTACCCCCACTAGCGTGTTACCCCCACTAGCGTGTTACCCCCACTAGCGTATTACCCCCACTAGCGTGTTACCCCCACTAGCGTGTTACCCCCACTAGCGTGTTACCCCCACTAGCGTATTACCCCCACTAGCGTGTTACCCCCACTAGCGTGTTACCCCCACTAGCGTGTTACCCCCACTAGCGTATTACCCCCACTAGCGTGTTACCCCCACTAGCGTGTTACCCCCACTAGCGTGTTACCCCCACTAGCGTATTACCCCCACTAGCGTGTTACCCCCACTAGCGTGTTACCCCCACTAGCGTGTTACCCCCACTAGCGTATTACCCCCACTAGCGTGTTACCCCCACTAGCGTGTTACCCCCACTAGCGTGTTACCCCCACTAGCGTATTACCCCCACTAGCGTGTTACCCCCACTAGCGTGTTACCCCCACTAGCGTGTTACCCCCACTAGCGTATTACCCCCACTAGCGTGTTACCCCCACTAGCGTGTTACCCCCACTAGCGTGTTACCCCCACTAGCGTATTACCCCCACTAGCGTGTTACCCCCACTAGCGTGTTACCCCCACTAGCGTGTTACCCCCACTAGCGTATTACCCCCACTAGCGTGTTACCCCCACTAGCGTGTTACCCCCACTAGCGTGTTACCCCCACTAGCGTATTACCCCCACTAGCGTGTTACCCCCACTAGCGTGTTACCCCCACTAGCGTGTTACCCCCACTAGCGTATTACCCCCACTAGCGTGTTACCCCCACTAGCGTGTTACCCCCACTAGCGTGTTACCCCCACTAGCGTATTACCCCCACTAGCGTGTTACCCCCACTAGCGTGTTACCCCCACTAGCGTGTTACCCCCACTAGCGTATTACCCCCACTAGCGTATTACCCCCACTAGCGTATTACCCCCACTAGCGTGTTACCCCCACTAGCGTGTTACCCCCACTAGCGTATTACCCCCACTAGCGTATTACCCCCACTAGCGTATTACCCCCACTAGCGTGTTACCCCCACTAGCGTATTACCCCCACTAGCGTATTACCCCACTAGCGTATTACACCTGTCTCTTATACACATCTAGATGTGTATAAGAGACAGGGTTCAAGGAGTGGGTTGGAATGAGTGGGTTGGGCTGAGTGGGCTGGGCTGAGTGGGCTGGGCTGAGTGGGTCCAAGAGGGAGCCCAAGAAGGGGTTCACCTGGGGGACGCCATAACGGATGTCATATAACGGGCCCGGGACGCCATTTAACGGGTCCGGGACGCCATTTAACGAGCCTCTGCCACAGGGGACGTCCAGATCGCCCTCAGCGACGGGTCGGGACGCGACGTCCCAATCGACATCCGGGACAACGGAGACGGCACCTTCAGGGTCGCCTACGAGCCCCGCAGCCCGGGACCCCATAAGGTGGGACCTGACCCACTTATTGTCTTGACCCACTTGTGTATCTTGACCCACTTGTGTACCTTGACCCACTTGTGTGTCTTGACCCACTTGTGTATCTTGACCCACTTGTGTATCCTGACCCACTTATACACCTTGACCCACTTATACACCTTGACCCACTTGTGTACCTTGACCCACTTATACACCTTAACCCACTTATACACCTTGACCCACTTATACACCTTAACCCACTTATACACCTTGACCCACTTATACACCTTAACCCACTTATACACCTTGACCCAATTGTGTATCCTGACCCACTTATACACCTTGACCCACTTGTATACCTTGACCCACTTGTATACCTTGACCCACTTGTCCCCAGGTGGAGGTGGTGTACGCGGGACAGCCCGTCCCCCAGTCCCCGCTGGTCGTGGACGTCCTGCCGTCCGTGGACGTGACGAAGGTCAAAGTGGACGGCCTCGAGCCCTGTGAGTACCGCCCGTCCTCCGTCCGTCCGTCCGTCTGTCTGTCCGTCAGCTTTTCTGTTTGTCCTAAAAATATCATATGTTCGATATAAGTTATCCCAAAGGTATATTAATTACCATAAATTTTTATAAATTACCCCAAAGTTGTATAAGTTACCCCAACCCAGTGAAAATTTACAGACGCGGCAGCTTCTGATTTGGATTACCAGAAGCTGAGGCGACTCTAAATTTTGTTATGGATAGTTATACAAGTTACCAAAAGTTGTATAAGTTACCCCAAAGTTTTATAAGCTACCCCAAAGTTATACAAGTTACTCCAAAGTTATGGAAGTTACCCCAAAGTTATATAAGTTAACACAAAGTTTTAGAAATTGCTTCAAAGTTTTAAAAGTGACCCCAAAGTTTTATAAGTTACCCTGAAGTTAGCTATAATTTATAGATAACTTAGATAACCATTATAATTATAATTAACCTATTTTAATTATTATTTATTTCATATAATTATGCATAACAAAGTGATCTATAATTTCTATGCTATCCCTCCAGAAACTTTTAACGTTTTAATTTTAATTAAACGTTTAAGTGTCAAAATTACGTCGCTTAAACGTTGTTTCAGCGTTATTTGTACTTCCTATTTCAGCCCTAAGTAGCTACTTACTGAACGTACTGATGTATGTGCTAAATGAACTGTTTCATTTATATATGTATGAAATGTATGTACTGTGTCATGCCTGTATAAACTGTGTGTTTGTATATTTTTATATATTTTTTGTATAAACTCATGGTTCATTAGGTGTTGATTAGAGTTATTAACTTTAATGATGAGTGATTATGTAGGGATTAAGATGAATTAGTCTACATAATGGTTTTTCTAATATGTAACAAATTGCTATCGTTATTCATGTTATTATGTCATTTATTCCTGTTATTATCTATGTTAATTTTTGGCTTTTAAAGAGAACTTAACAATGTTTGAGCGAAAAGAAAAGAAAGGCTAGTAAAATATCGATAAATATTACGAACGCTGTTCAATGTGTCCAAAATATAGAATATTGGTTTCGTTATTAATTCATATATTATGCATTTATTTGACAATGTATTATATTTCTCTTTGGTATAGGGGACCTTGAGCGATATTTGAGCGAGCTTAAAAACGTGAAGGTACAATTTGTAATGTTATCATCATATGTACATTTTGTTATATTATTGACGAATGGTATGACATGTTGAAAACTATTTTTTTATTGTAACCTAAACCTTTTGATGTTTTTAACGTTTTGTGACGCGAAACCCTTTCTTGTAACCTTTTAAGCGCGCCTAGTTTACGATAACTGATTTATTATAGTTTCCGTTCGAATGTTGAATTTCTGTGCCGTTTTCTATACTACATGGAAATGACCCGAAACTCCACGGACATCGCTGCTACATTTTCAATAATATATTGATTATATATTACAATATTGTTATCTTGATGCCTGTATGATGTATGGCTACGTGGGGGTTGAGCCCCGAACCCCCAAGCCCGTGGATGTCCCCCAACCACCCAACCCCTCAACCCCGTGGATTTCCCCCAACCATCCGTGGATGTCCCCCAATCCCATGGATTTCCCCGAAACCCCGAACCCCGTGGATTTCCCCCAACCCCCGACCTGTCTCTTATACACATCTAGATGTGTATAAGAGACAGGGGTTGGGTTGAGTGGGTTCAAGGAGTGGGCTGGGAAGAGTGGGTTGGGTTGAGTGGGTTGGGCTGAGTGGGTTGGGTTGAGTGGGTTGGGCTGAGTGGGTTGGGCTGAGTGGGTTGGG